TTATATTTGTGTCTACAACACGTGTAACTAAGTTATCCTTGCCCATGGAAGTGCAGGAATCTTGAAAATTCAGATGCTTTTTAATGGCCGAGGAACCCAGTCTTCCAGTGCATTTCTTGTTTTTCTTGCATAGTTTTACTGGTCCAACATCAGTGAAAGAAAATAATCCATCTGCTGGAAGTCTTAACAGATCATCAGTTGTTAGGCTAATGGAATCTATGTCATTAACAATCTCTCTTCTATATGATAGGGAGTTTGAGTGCTTTTTGTGATCAAGATTTTCAAAAGCTGAAAAATAAAACATAGTTCAAATTATCTTCCTTTATCATCTATACTTAGTAACATTCAACAGTAAATGAGAATTAAAGAACTGAGAATTGTTTTTGTCACCTCATTATCCTCACTAAAGTTTTAATTGAATGTATAAAAGATACAGGTTAAGAAAACAGAACATGCTTGCTTTCTCACATCTCTTCAATGTTTAATTTCTACACATTTCTCTCCAATCACCTAAATTTCCCCATGTTTTTTACTTTAGGATTTTTTCAATTTTTTTCATCTAGACATACCCAATGAATTAATACAATCAAATCAACATGGTTCATTCAATATTGGCTGTAACATAGAAAAATATGCAGTTCAACTAGGTGGAAAAATTAATTTTTGTTCTCTCTTACCCTGCAAAGGCATGGTTACAACACAGAAAACAGGTGTTCTAATTCTATTCTTCTGAAAAATATTGTTCATAACTGAGAATTTAATGCAAACTTTTTCTATTCTATGCCTATTCTGTAAGCGCTCAATAAAGTGCTAACTGGTTTATCAGCAACTGCATTATCTTAACTTGTCTTCGTGGAAGTTTTATCAAGAAAACTCTATCTTTTGAACATTATTGTTCCATAAGATATAGATCAGAAAGACTAATACAGATCTTATCAATTGAAATTGAGCAAGTATAAACTTAGAAAGGGTGCACTTTAAGGTCATTAAGCTAGTTAATGAAAGACAAAAAGCACATTACTACTCTATCCATTACAAGATAGTAAAATGACTTAAGTTAGGAGCTACCTGCTTTCTTAGACTCATCAACTTCCCTTGCAAGGTCAAAGAGGAATTTTTAAGCTGAAAATTTCTGAGAACCAGAGAATTATGCAAGCATTTCACAAAAATATTCAGATTTTTTTTACTATAGGTTATTTTTATTCTGACATAACAAAAAAAAGTTTAACTTTATAAGACTACAGTCAATCTCTGAAATGCTTCAAATTATTAGACAAAGAAAACAAATAAAAGCATACCATTGTTTGGTTTATAAATATATTTGGAGAATTGAGGCACATTCGCAGAACTCTTATCACTGCTAATTTTTCCAGTGCTTGTATCAGAGTATATTTGGCTTAAATCAAAATCATCAATGTAGGCTTGCAGAGCCTGAGAAGCAGAACTGTACAGTTTATCCTTATAGTGAAAAGGGCCATCAGAGTTGGAAGAATTACCACCATTCAGATTGCAGCTTGCCAGAAGGGAAGAGACTGAAGATTCCTGAGAACAAACTCTGTGCTTTGTGTTTGATTTTGCCATGGCTTCCTCAACATGGGTTACTTTTATCCATTTTCCTTAAAGACAACTGTAACATGAAAACAAACAGTGAAGGCACCAATTAAAAGGAATAATCATGATATACAGAGAAAATTACTAAATACACTAACTTAAAATTTTTCTTTAAGAAATAAAATTAGTTATTTATAATAGAAACTCCTTTTCAGGCATTGTAAGTTTCCTAGTATTTTACAAATTCTTTCATCAATGATGTAGAAAACACTTATTAAGCAGCTACTATGTGCCTGGAAGTACGTATAAAAAAGTTGTCTGAGAATATACATGAGAAGTATCAATGAAAGAATACTCACATTTAAAGTCCTAAAAACCACTGATGAAAGTCTGTTTGCTAATGGTGACATATTCTATGACATCACAAACCTAACATTCCCTTATATACAATAAATCATAAGCTTACAACCATTCACTGCAAATACTAGGTACTCAATGAAAAGGAAAAAAGAAATTTGTTGCCCAGACTGGCCTTGAATTCTTGAGCCCAAGAGGTCTTCCTGTCTCAGTCTTCCGAACAGAGGAGACTACAGACACATACAACTGTACCTACCAACTTCCAACACATTTTTAAAGTCATTAACCATTGGAAGCAAAAAGAAAAACATCCACTTTCAATATTGTAAATGCCAAGATGAAACTTCATTTTCCCAAAAAAAGACTAACGAACACAAAATATAAATAAACTATAAGTCTTACTTCAGAATGAACTAACAATCTGAACTTTTCCTAAAATAACCTTTTTTTTGACAGAACTGGGGATCAAACACATGCACACTTGCACACTAGACAAGCACACTACCATTGAGCCACACCATTCAGCCTTTTTTTTTTTTTTTGGAGAGAGAGGGTCTCCCTAATTTACCTAGGATGCCTTCAAGCTTGCAATACTGTCTTACCTCAGCTTCCATGCCCAGCTAAAATAACATTATTTTTTTAATACCATCCTATTTTCAATTTTTATGTTGACCAGATTCAGCTCATCTTTCAAAAAAAGTTTAGATCATGTGAAATTAACTTAATGTATTCATCTTGATGGGGTTTTTTATTACTAAAACTAAAAACTTATTACAGGAATAATAGGAACTGTATTTAAAAACCCAAGGAAAAAAACAGAATGAACAGGCACTAACTCAGAACATGATATGACATTTGTTAAGAAGTAAAGAATTTTCTATAATAAAAAAAAAGAATTAATGTCTAACACTTAACATGATATGATGTTGTAGTCAGTATGTTTGATTTTTGGCTATCATTTTGGAAATATTTAAGTCATAATAGCTTTTTAATGTAACCTTAGCAACTGTCAAATTTGCCTTTGAATTATAGAAAGTTTTAATCAAAGAGATTATAATAACGCCTCCTGTCCACAGCCTCAGAGCATGCCTTTCCAGAATTCTGACAGTGTTCGGACAACAGAACATAAGAAAACGACTCTTTAGCCTCTTCCATATCCTTGAAATGTCATGATATAGGGAGATCGCCACAGAATGGCTTAAATGCACTCAAGAAAATTTACTTCCCTAAGTTTAACTGACAGTCTCCCCCCCCCCTTACCTGAACATATAACAGGTTACGATTTTATTTTACAAAACCTTAACTAATTGGGTTATGGTTCTTCGTTAAGTGGGTGATGACATTCACCATGTCATTTTAATTCACAAGCGTGACAAGAGAATCCACAATTCAATTTCTATTTTATGGAAAGTTTTCAGACCTATGCAAAAGTAGGGTCTTTGAATAAATTCCTCTGCATCCGCCACGCTGCTTCCACCAATGAGCAACACACCTCAACTCCCCAGATCCCACCCCCCGCTCCCCACGTCAACCGCGGGATCGTTTGGAATCTCACGCACTTTAAGCAAAGCCCGAGCGTCTCACCGTTTCCTCCATAATCACTTCAGTTCCAATATCCCAAAGCAAGTCCATCATGCTCAAGGGAACGTCAAGACTGAAGAGCTTAAGAGCGGAAAAACAAAACAAAACAAAACAAAAAAAACCCTGATGCAAACAGAGAACGTTCCGTGTTAAGCAGCCAAGAAGCGGCTCCCAGTTCCGAAGCTACGAGGCGAACCGAGCTCTACTCTGCAGCAGGAAGACGGGGCGTGCAAAGCCCGGGCAGCCGCCGCCACCTCGGGGGCCCGCGTCCGCGCATTCCGCCCGATTTCTCCAACACCCGGGCCCGGGGGTCCTCGGCCCC